GCAAAAATCATGTTAAATATTTCCGGAATTGGCCTGAATTTATAAGACCAGATTATAAACTTAACGAATTGATAGAAAATAGTTCGGTGTTTATCATTTATAACACGAAAAAACCGAAAATATAAATTTTTTCTAAGTGGCCGAAAACTTTTTTTGCACTCTGTAGTTCAAATTTTATTTTATTTTTATTTTTATTTTATTAAACAACGCCAAGCTCTGGCTGAATATAATGTTAGTTTTGTTAGAGGTTTGGCCGGAAAATTGCACTCTTTTTATAAATAATGAACAATGGTAGCAGTAACTTTCGATAACTTTCAGTTCTCGCCTCATTAAAAACCTGGCTCTTTTCGTAAATTATGAGGTAATCACAATAGTAGGAACATGAAAACGAAAGCAGACATACAACCAAGATGGAAATGCTCATAGTAGTCTATAGTAAACGGTCCAGGATAACCTTTGGTAGACGTTTCCAAAGGGACAAAGGCTATGTGAAGCGTTAACTGTTACGCGTTAAATTTAAGACTTTGAGACTGCAAAAGTCGTCACTCAATTTATCCGATAAATTGATGAGAAGTTTTACGTCGGTTAAGGCAGATCCATGTTGATTGCAGAGTGCATTGAGTTGACATGGATCATGATTTGAAACGTAACTAGATCATTTGATGCTAAATAATAAATAATTCAAAATTGACTTCATAGATAAGAATATTAACTCGCCAACTCGTGGATGGCTACAACAAAGCACAGAATCAAAATAAAAATTTACAATAAATAAGTGTAAACATCGCAGATAAGTATCATCGTTTCAATACACATTGTGATGCTTCACTAATTGATTTCAATGTTAGTACTGACACTGTTAAACAGAGGGTAACTGAATTTTTTAAAAGAAGTAGAGTGTGGAGAAAATAAAAGAAATATTGTAAATATATTGTTAGCCATACAACATTGCAGTACTCAAGATGAGACTGAACCAGTGCGTAGTATAGTGTTTTGAGCGTTTGAACGTCGGTTATGTCGTAGCAAAATCTTTTTTGCTTTCATTCATGTAATTCATCTGTAAGAGATTCTTTGTTACACATGAATGAATCCCTGCGCAAACTACGCTAAGATTTGCGAACTTTCAGATTTAACTTCACCACCATTTGCTTTCACTTCTATATTCGATAATAATTTTTTTTGTTCATATTTATATTTATATAGCCTGGGTATACAGCACTTTTCAATTTAATACCAATTTTATTGTTGATCATACTATCCGGCATGTCATCATTCTTCATATCAGATCCAATTTATAGTCTAACGCCCAGTGCGTAAGTATCTTTTTTTACATAGCCAAGTTATATACAATTTATACTACATGAATCAAAAATTTTATTTCGTGACAGGAAATATGCGATTGAAAGACGAACTGTTGCAACCAATATACCGTATTTTGTCACGGAAAATTTTCATGAATATCAAGGTTCGCTGGGAAGACTTGAAGCAGCTGTTGAGGATGAATATAAAACAAACTTACGCTACGCATGCAATCGCGAAAGAAATTATAGTTGAGTTTATTGAAAAAAAATTCATTAGTTTTGATCAGGAATCTGTGTTGTTTTCTCTTATTATATTGAAATTTCCCTTTATCAATTGCAGAGGAGTCAATGTTGATGAAAGCCCGAAATTTTGGCAGCAAAGACTTGTACAGAAAAGCACAACTAATTGAGACGCCATCGTGTCGGAGTTTTGAAGATTTTAAGCAAAATGGACGTTTTTAACGTCTTTTTCTCCAAAATATTTATTAGGTTTTCATTGTTGTTCAGTGATGAGACACAAAAGGAAAAAATAAAAAAAAATATATATAAGATAAGTTTAAATGTAGTTTTCAAATGATCCAATCTTTACCCATTTGTCTATTTGTCAAATAAATAGAATAAATTATTCATCTCTATATTTACATTGCTACGCAGAGATTACTATGGGATATTTTTATTCATATGGGATAAAAATATCGCATCAAAATAACAGATATTTTTCACGCGTTGTGTTCAACGTTCAACGCGTTCAATGTTCAGAGTCCAAAAATATCTAATATTTTTCGCGCGTTGTGTTCAGCGAAACGCATTAATACACAATAGCGATTCTGCACACACAGAGACGCTATTTCTTCGTTATACTCTTCACACTTACGATGAGCTGCGCGGAGCGTGCATGCACATGTTTCGCTCACTTCTTTCTTTGAACACTCTTCGTGTGTCAACACAATGTCTGTGTGTGTATCGCTTGTGCCGTCATTTGTAAACGATATTATAGTAAACAATTTCTATCCCATATGAATAAAAATATCTCATAGTAATCTCTGTTGCTACGTTTGAGTGAATGATAGCTCGTTTTCGTTACATTCACTTCCAACATAACCATTAACAAAGGGTAAGCCTGTTGGAACACAATTCTGATATGCTACATATTTTTCTTGAAAGAAATTCACTAATGTGACTTCTTCAACTAGAATGCGCTCATAGAAGAATCTATAAACTATGTAACTATAAACTATCGAGCAAATAGGATTAGCCAGAATTATTTGTGTGCCAATTGACCACCAAAACCAGCCCGCATATGATGGGTGCCGACACAGTCTATAGACTCCGTGTGTGACCAGTACATGGTCTTCACTTTTTTGGTATTGAACTATGTGATTAAAACTTTTGCTCGCTGTGACGATTGCAAGTTTCCGCAGGATTTCACCAGACACACACATCACAACTCCAACCAGAAGAATCGATGTATTTCCCTTTAACCCTGGCCACATGTACACCTCGATTAAAAATTCTAACCACGATGTTGTTGCTGCCACTAAATGTGTGTAAATAGAAAAAAAGAGAATAATAGATTATGTCCCATGTTTATTGGTGATTCATTTGATTGGTGACTCACCAAGATATGCGATAGAGTGGTTCAACATAAATGTGTCTGTGCTTAGAGTTTGTGGATTGGCCCATGAGATTGTGATATATTCGCTGTGAAAAAATAATTTATTAGAAAGGACAATGCCTTATTAGCTAATTCAGCACCCATATACATTGGGTTTGAAACAAACACGTTGCTTTTATTAATATAAAATAGTGATATTATGTTATACACTACCTGAAGTGAAAAGTTGACATGAATAGAAAATATACACCCAATCGTTTCCATGCAATCGGAGAAAAATATATTGAGATAACCGACAATCCAAAACACACACCGAGAGCCGTAGCTCTTTTTACTACCTAAAATACAAAAAAAAACATTCAAAATATATAAATTGGAAAACATACTTCAAAAGGATAGGAAGAAGTACCGCAAAATCATTTGTGCTCGTAACGAAAAAAGTTATCAAGCAGAAGAGCGCATATGTCCCGATTGGTCCGATAAATACTAATCCGAAATTGCGAAATGTATTCAGCTCCAGAGAAAAGAAGCTCACCGCCAAAAGTGATGTGAAGACAGTTGTTATTATGCCGCTAATAAAAGCAGCCAAACTCACTTTTCCTTCGTGACACCACATTCCAAGAGAATTCTAACTTTTTTTCGCGATTTTAGCCAATGATGATTTTCTCACTTGTTCATAACAATTAGTTCTTTCCCACGTTGAAGACAAATGTAAACTGTCAGATTTTGTGCGTGACATTTTTTGACATTTAGACACGTCATGCACATCCAACTCACGGGCGATATCTCTCTCAATTGCGTTTTTGTTCGTGAAAGAAGTTTCTTGAAACTTACAGATTAAATTTAACAGTGCCAAGCGTGCCGTGCCGGTGATTATTCATTGATTGAATTTAACGTTATACACAGTTGCGTACATATATATTTAATATTTTCAAATCAAATGGTATGTTGAAATATTTCAAGTTAAAGTTATCTTTTTTTCCATAAAATTATCAATATAGCCAACGCTACAGATTTGAAAATATATTCTTGAACAGTTTTAAAAAGCTTTTTTAAACAAATATGTTCTGAAACAAATGAAATAAAAATGTTATTCCCGAAAAATCGGAATACAACACTGTTATACATGTTTTTGGATTTTGAGGTTAGGTCATCTAGGTTTAAATGATCTATTTGACCTCGATGAATTTTCCTCTAATAATGATTGGTATTTTCTTTCTTTTTTTCCACAAAGGCTGGTGTAATCAAGCGTGTTATTCCATTGTTGGATCGCATTTTGATTCAACGCGCCGAAGCATTGACTCAATCCAAAGGCGGTATTGTCATTCCAGAATCAGCACAATCGAAAGTCTCACAAGGAACGGTCGTGGCCGTTGGATCTGGTGGCCGCAACAAAAACGGTGATCTTATTCCAATCTCATTGAATGTTGGAGATAAAGTTCTACTCCCAGAATTTGGCGGCACCAAGGTCAATTTGGATGATGGAAAGGAATATCACTTGTTCCGCGAAAGCGACATACTCGCTAAATTGGAGCAATGAACACCACGTGGAACGTAGTTTATGCGCATTTTAGCAACTAGAAAATAATAATTCTTTGTTGAACTATCATACGAATTAAAACTATCATTTAATCAGACAAATCTGCGTTTATTTTTTTTTTTTTAATAGGTAGGAAACAAAACAAGGCTAGACCATGTCTGCCAGCTTTTGAGCACGTTCGAATAGAATTTTCTCGACAGCTTTTGGTGGAGGCATTTCGGTTGCGAATAAAATCTTCGAGTTCCATCAAAATAATGTAAATGTATGTATCCAGTTTTAATTAATAAATTACCCGCCCATTTCGAATTGCTTCATCAATATCATTCTTTGTGGCTTTTGGTCGTGTCCCACCATCCTCTTTTATTTTGAGAAAGAAGTTTTATCTCAATGAATAACAACGCTGGCATAATGTAAATGCAAGTAAACTCAACTCACCGATTCAAACAGTCTCGCTTTTTCTTCAGATTGGGCAACGACAAATCTTCGACATTTTCGCTTCTTCATCGTAAACCGTAGTATTGAATGACTGAAGAGAAGAATTACAAAACGTCTGGACATTAATCCAAATCGTACTTTTTTGCACAAATTATCGAATAGAAATAAATTTAGTTCAGGCATTGGCTTCAAAATAGTATCAAGTGCCCCAATATTTGCTTGAGATTTGAAATAGAAATCAATTCAATTGTTCAATTAAATAACAGATATTGACACTGTATTTCGATGATGAAGTTTCATTTGATTAACCTTTGTATTCAGTTTTGGATTTTTCTTGGTTTTTGACGTGCGCGAGCGCTTTTGTACAGATGTCACCTCTTTGTTAGTGGACGTATAGCAAGCAAACTATGTCTTAATTTATCTAAATTCAATGCTCTTTATGATAAAACTTTGAAACTGGCAAAAACTATTCTCTATTTTGTGTATATTTAGCCCGGTATTTAGTGAAGTAGACTAGTTTTATTGTTCACTCCTCATATTTAGGGTCAATAAAATTCTAACTTCTGCACCGATCCTAATAATTTATAGCGCGTTTGAATGGTAATTTATTACACTATTCAGAGGCAATTTATTTTTGGTGATAGCTATTCTACAAAAAAAAGTTATAGCCTTAAATGTGCTCAGAGAACAGTGGCTTTCCAAAAAATCTTTCAAAAAAACCAAAATGCACTAAATCATACCGTAACCCAATGAAACGAAATATGGTTTTGAGATCACGAGAGCGTCTTCTTCAACGTGGTATTCTTCGTTTTGCTCAAAAACTTTTTTTCAACTTTATTTATTGGTTTAAATATATATTGACAATTTTGTCAGGAAAGACAGCCAATGACTTTTTTTGCTTCGGGCTGGGTTTTCATAGGAAAATGGATTTATTTTTTCACTTTTTTTTGGGAATTAAGAAAAAAAATGGTCGAAAAGAGCATACCTAGAGTTTCATCAAAAAATAATT